ACTTTGGGCTAGCTACGTTGATGGAAGCGGATAAAACTCACGTGTCGACATTAGTTGCTGGCACTTTCGGATACTTGGCTCCTGGTATGCTTTTCTGGTGCAGTAAGCTGGCTTTTCAGTTCTGATGTTTTCTTGATATACGATCTACTAATGATGCCTTTTGATCTCCTGCAGAATATTTTGACACAGGAAAAGCTACAGCAAAAGGAGATGTCTATAGCTATGGTGTTGTGTTATTGGAGCTTCTAACTGGTAAAAAGCCTACAGATGAAGCATTTGTTGAGGAGGGAACTAAGCTAGTGACCTGGGTAAAACTTTCTACGCAGACGTGCAATTCAATTATCTCACGAGTTACATTTATTTATATGTTCTGATGTTGGTAATGTTATCTAGAACTTGCTTCGGTTGGATTTGATCAATGCAATCAATCTATTGACTTGTATTTTGATTTTCCCTGAAAATGATTACGATTTATGTTTTTTTTCTCTAGACTATGAGATTAGGCAACTTTTGAAGGTAAAAAGATGAAAAATAGCCACTTTTTATGGAAAAATTATTTATAACCATTTCGATTTCAAGGTGGCTACTTCTATTTTTCTTTTCTTTTTTTTTTCATTTGATAAATGGCTACTTCTAAATTTTTTCCAGCATGGTTTCATTTCTTTGAGGTGGTAACAGGCACAAGCTTCTACATACATTTGTTGCAGGTGAAATCGGTAGTCCAAGAAAAGAGAGAAGAGTATGTACTCGACTGCAGTTTGATGGATTGTCCAGCACACGAGGTCAATCATGCATTTAGTATAGCAATGATGTGCCTTGAATCGGAACCCTCTACAAGACCTACCATGGCAGAAATTCTGAAGATGTTAGAGAAGATTAGATCATAAGAACCCGCATCAACAAATTGATAATAGTGAATTGTATTGCAAACAGGAAAAAAAAATAAATAAATAAATAAAGAAGCTGTCCATTTTAAGCCCACCTCGATGGAATGTTAGAACCCAATTCATCAGACACAAAACTTGAATGTAGAAAGGCACACAAAAATTTTCTCTATAGAAATAAACACGAGCTGGCATTTTAAAGAACAGCCGAAAGCCTGTTTTGCGCCTTTAATTACTTAAGTGCAGCTGCCAATCCACTCGAAGCTGAAGCTTTCAGTGACGGGGAAACTGAGTTACTTCCGAGAAAAACATCAAACAGAGCAGATGTAACATTCGATGACTCGATCGTAGCATCAATGGTAGATGGAGTCTCATCAGGTGATATACTAACCTGAGGATTCACGGATTACATACCAGCAGAAGGTTATTAGAGGATATTTATATATAATCACGCGAACTATTCTTTTATTTGTAATAAGAAAATGATGATTTCGTCGTAATATGCATTATCATATTTTATACTCACAAGCATTTTCGTTGTGTCCAACCAAGTCAAAAAAACCGAAGTCCCTTTCTTAAGAGGCCGGCTTTCAAAGGTATTACGGAAGGTCGAAAGTGCAAATTCATCGACGAGAGTCGGTGATTTGACTCTTGGAGAAATGGCCTCACTCAAGGCGTCCCAAAATGTTTTACCATCCACGTCCCTTACTAGAATAATATGCAGTGCTTTCTCTAGAGGAGCTGCACTTCATCAAGTCAAACTCAACGATAGACACGTAACAATAGTTGCTCCTCAAAAAACCTAGTTTTCTCAAAGGCCATTACCTTGGAAAATGGAATTAAAAACCAACGGATCCTTTTCTAGTTCTGCATATGCATGTCCTTTCCAGGCATCTAACTTACTGAAGACTAAAGGGTTCGTGTATAATCCAGCAGCATAGACCTTAACACCGATTAGTGCAAATACCTTTTCCCTGTATCCTAATTATATTGTCCAAGACAAAGTAGTCCTTAGGTATCAGGATCACAGATTAGTAAAAATTACATCTTTTGTGAATGGTAATGTAACTTTACCAATGCCAAGTAATGTTAATGAAGATGGACAACCAGGAACTTCCAGTGATTTTCGAAACTTCACCTTGGTTTTAGGTTCTTCAGCGTATTCTTAACTTGCAAGAAGAGCCATAAAACGAACATCGTTAGATGAATATACAAATACAATACTCCATACAGAACATGGTAAAAGAATCATGGAGAATATGCAGTTGATGCTAGCGAAAGTTTAGAAACAATAATGATTACGACCCTTACGGTAACCGAGCTATCAGGTTTAATTAAACCAGACTTCCTATCTACTAGAGCAGCAAATAACTTGGCCCAAATTTATCTATAAGAAATCGACTTGGGTGCAATAAGAAGGGATACAAATGTCATCTAATCCTTGACGTGTTGAGGACTAGTGAAAACCCAACCTAAAGAAAACTATAAACTTACCACCAGACTTCGAAAGGATGAACATAATGTTACACATCTTTTGGAGAATTTTTCAGGATAATTTTTGGGGGTTAAACAGCTCCAAATGAACTCCACACCACCTCACTTTCTCATCTTTATTACATATCTCCAATTTATCTAGAATAAAGATGATCAACGATTGCCACCCAAATAAAAGATGTTCGACTTCGACGTTCCAGAGCTCGAGGAACCTCACATTGTTCCTCCTCTTCAATTTACCTCTTTTCTTCCTTCAAAACAGTACACTGAACATCTCCCCACCAACAGTGGGCCAAATTTGCTAATTCCCCAATAATTCAGATATCCCACTAAATAACTTGAAGAACCCAAAAAGGATAAGAACAAAAATCAACCAAATGCACATTTCATAAGCAAATAACCGAGCAAATTACAGGATTCTCAGCGAATAAAAAAAAAAAAAAAGAACATTTTATTCCCAACTGCTGAAAGTAAGTTAAATTTCAACGATTTCTTTTGTTAACTCATCTTCACCTGAAGAAGATGAAGCGGCTCTCGATGCAGGCCATTTGCGCAGTCCAGGGTTCGTCTTCATACGGCCATGGCGATGATGAGGAGAGAATGCTGATAAGTTGGTGAGAATTTGGCTGTGTATTGAAAATGGGTTGCTTGGAGAATTTGCCGGTAAGTAAAATCTGAGGTTTGAAGCACAGGCGTTGGTTATGGCGGGTGATGAATGGGGGAGGAATGCGGGTGTCGCAAATGCTGTAACTGAAGCCATTTTCATTTTTCAGTGACTAATGAAAGTATGGAAGTCTTGTCTAATAAAAAATTTCCCAAATCTGAATCATCAATGTATATAGAGTGAATAAGTCAGTCATGTCCAGCCCGAGCCGAGGGAGTCGCCGCTCTACAGGGTTCCGGTTAATATTCCTATTTTTTGCTTCTCGGAGAGTGGCTGCTCGTTCGAGCCACCGTGACTGGAACGACCAGCCCCAAGAGGTACCTCCTCTCGAGCCCTCAGGTGTCTTTTACGGCTCCCGTGGAGTCCATATATGACGTGACTCAGTTTTTGGATTTGAAGTCTAGTTGTATTGCTCTGTTGGGTTTTTAGCTGCGGGTGAGTGACTCGGTTGACCGCTTAGGGACTGTTCGGTTCATCTGCTAGAATTGGGAGATGTATTACTTTATTTGTGTATTTGGTATGCGTTTCTTTCTTCTTTTTTTCTTTTTTCTTCTTTCGTTACGTCGCGTTGTCTGTTGTCCAGTCTCTTTTATGGTGTTTAGTCTCTTTTATGGAGTCGTGTTTGTTGGTTTTGTCTCCTTGATGAAGGTTGTATCCCCTTGGACACATGCAGGGGCGGATCTAGGAAAAAAATTTGGGAGGGGCCAAATGAGTTAATTGGAATCAGATTGTGTTTGTTGAACTCGTGAAAATTTGCCGAGCTAGAATGACTATTCAAACTTTTTTATTAGGCAAATCGAATAAATTGAAGCTTACACAAGTCGAGTTTGAACTCATACTTTTTGTTTATTTATTAAAAATAGTCAAGCCGATCATTTATTAAACTATCACAAGATTAAACATGAGGTATTCAACTTGACTCGGTGCGTATAACATTTCAAGTGAAATTATATAATTTATAGTATTTCTCTCACTATATATATAGGCGTAAAAATGCATTTTAAAATAGATAAAATAATTAATGAGTTGCACTACAAAATACATAACTTCTTAATTTCGGTAGTTTAAATGTTCAACATTCTTTACACCCACGAAACTCATTGATGGTTGGCTCCGTATTAGCACAAATTCTATAATTGGTAGATTGTTTAATTGTTAGACAAGTATATTTTCCTACTAAAAATACATTGTTATATTATGAAATGTCATACTTTTATTTGTATTGCACTATAAAATATGAGATTTAATGGAAGTATAAATAGATTCTTGGAAGAGTAGTTGTCTAACTATTAACCAAGAGAAGGCCTAATGTCGTATTAATAGTTCTAGCAGTTCTTTTTTGAATTGCATATGTTGCATGTTCTTCTATTTCAAATTTACCCTTTAATTCTTTAATTGTGCGTAAGATAAAACACAAAATATTACAAAACATTGTTGAAATGGTACTTACAAAATATGATTGTAACAACAAATTTCGTGAATTGAATTTAAAAACACGAAAAATATTGTTCAAATGAATTTCTTGAATCAAAATAAATATTGCGGGTTACAATCTCTATTTTCTCCTCTGATTCTTCTCACAAACAAATTTTAAGTCTTGGAGCAAAATCTTCGGCTTGATCTTCTCCTTGACTTGATTTGACTTGAATTAACGTAATCCGAGGGCTTGAAAGCTTTTTCCCGGATCAAACGTCAAAATATCCCAAGAACGCGAAGAACACGTATCTTGGTCTTCGCCGTAAAGTTGATCTTGAATCTTCTTCACGCCGGTTTTGAATTTACTAACGTTATTCGGAGGCTTCGCAGCTTGTTTCCGGATTGAACGCCAGTCTTGAGGTTGAACGCGCTTGAATCTTGCTTTGAATCTTCAAGAACGCCTTTGAATCTTCAAAACACTTGAACATGAATAATGCAATTCGGAGGCTTGGCAGCTTGTTTCCGGATTGAACGTCGGTCTTGGACTTGAACGTGCTTGAATCTTCCTTCAGATCTTCAAGAACGCCTTTGGATTTTCAAGAACAATTGAATCTCGTCGAGAGATCTTGAACTTGAACTTGAATACGAACGTAATTCGGAGGCTTGGTAGCTTGTTTCCGGATTAAACATCGGTTTTGAGCTTGTTGTGCTTGAATCTTCCTTCGAATCTTCAAGAACGGCTTTGAATCTTCAAGAACACTTGAAACTTGTAGAGAGAATTCTCTAGAGCTCTTGAACTTGAAAATATGAATTATGAGATGTTTTTTTGACATTAGGGAGAGCCCCTATTTATAGGTGTAGGAGAGAACTCCCTACCAAATTTAAGAATTGTAGGACGCGATTTGATTGGTCCATGATGATTCACATAAGATCTTTAAGATCTACTTAGATCTCCCAAGATCTTCTAAATCCACTTAAATCTTCCAATATCTTCTAGAAGATATGATTTATTTACCAAGAATAAGATTTGACACTTGGCATTATTTGATTGGTCAAGAATTAAAATATTAAAATATCAATTAATTAACTATTTAAATTTAAAAATTAAATATATGGAAATTCCTAAAATATAAATAGAAAATATGACTTGATTTTTAATAAATTAATTTCCACGTGGCGCCATTTGATTGGACACAAATTTTATGTCTCTACAATGACGTAGTTAAATTTAATTAGTAAATAGAGCGATACAGTAATTTGTAATAATTATGAGAACGAGTATGAATATTTTATAAATGTTTTTTTTTTCGAAACGATAGATTTTATAACTCAAATAGAGAGATACAAGCCGGGTTAAAATAAACCCATAAGATCGGTCCAAAAGGAAATGGAGTGGCACCCCAAGGTGCACTAGAACCTGCCAATAAAAAGCATAATAGTCTACTCTCGGCATTGACAGGCAAAGGGATCCAAAGAGTAGAATTATTAAGCCTTGCTGCTGAAATGACAGACTAAAAGACAAAGTTACAACCACTGCCCTAGATGGCCTAATTGTAACAACTAGCTAAAAAAAACAAAGCTACACAACAACTGAAAAGAAAGGAAAAAAAAACAACCAGAACTAAACCAAAGCAAAGCTACCAAACTAGAGGAATAAAGGAAATCCCAGCAGCTGCAACATATCACTTCAGACAGCAAAGCAAGAAATCCAGAACACAAAGGGAAGCACCAGAGTATAGCAACTTCAAGGACTTGCAACACCCAAACTAACCGCAACAGCTAAAGACCCAAAGCACTGCACCATAAACTCTAGAAGCCACATTTCAGAAGTCAATCCAGAATACCAATATCATATTCACAGCAGAGTCACCAGAGAGCATCTCATCAAAAGCACCATAGGTCTAAAGCCATCAAATAGCTCAGAACCACCAAAACCACCAAAGGGAGAGAAATGAACTGCCACCACAGAACCACCACAACCACAAGAGAGAATAAAAGAACTGACACCAAATTCATATCAAAGTCAAGAACAGATAAAGTTCAGCAAGATAGTAGAGTGAGAGAAGCAGTGTATTCTTTTCAGTTTCTCAGAGCAGATTGCACTATGAAATTAGCAGGTTTTTTTATTCCTTGAAAGGTCCAGAGGTTTCTAGCTTTCCAAATTTCCCACAGGATGTACACAGTGAGTTGAAGCCTGTCATTAGAAGATAAGGAGTGATTAAGAGTGCAGATTTGAGTCCTTCAGTCTTTGAATGATGAAGTGTCTAAAGATTTTCCATCCCAGCATAAGGGTGACAATTTCCAGACTAAAGATGAGCTGGGGCAATTCAAAAGAAGGTGTTCTATAGTCTCTACATCCTCCCCATAGCATTTACAAGTCGGGTCCAGGGTCATTTTCCTTCTCCAAAGATTACCAGTCACTGGAAGTGTGTTTGACACACATTTCCAAAAGAAATGCTTCAGTCTCCCTTGGATCTTAAGAGACCAGCTTCTTTTTCTCATCCCTGTTGTTGGCTTTTGATCTTTGCTGCTCTCAGCAAGGTCTAGAGCATTCCACTTATTTTTTATTAAACTTGAGTAAACATAAGAGACTGAGAAGGGTTTACCTTTGCCATCACTGTCCCACACAAGCTTGTCCACTCCATTAGGATCAAGATCCTTAATTTTAGAATAGTTGCAGTTTCCCTGGGGGAAAAAATAGAGTGAAGAGTGTCTGTGTTCCATTTCCTTCCAGTATCATCAATTAGTTCACTAACCCAGGTTATGTTGCTCTGACTTTGTGCACTGATAATTTTAGGAAAAGAGGGAATCAATGGTTGATTCCAGATATTAATGCTCCTGCCATTCTTGATGTCAAATCTCAATCCTTCATGCTGAGTGTCTTTCATAAGAGAGGCTCTCACATCTATCCAGCTGTTCCACAGCCATGAATTGTTATATTAAAGAAGTTGTCATTGTGGAAGTATCTAGCCTTTAGAACTTTGCTGACAAGAAGGTTAGGATTTGAAAGAATCCTCCATATTTGCTTGGTGATGAGTGCTTTATTCATGATATGGATGTCTTTAAACCCCAGCCCTCCCTGTTCTTTAGGTAAGGTGATGACACTCCAAGATTTCCAGTGGATGTTCTTCTTTTGCTCATTGTTACTCCACCAGAATTCAACCACTGCTCTGTCTATACTAGCTTCTGTCTATACTAGCTTTGGTGGCCTTTGGAATTAGGAAGCATGACATTGAGTAAATTGGCAGGGCATTCAACACAGAATTGATAAGAACTTCCTTACCTGCAGAGGATAAAAACTTGATTT